GGATAATATATAAGCTATGCTTTCGCATTTTTATAATGCTTTTTTATTATATCATTGATAAAGGGCTTATTATCTTCTTTACTACTTAAATAATGTTATGTTATTAACATAAATGAAAGAAGTAGATATTCAGAACTATACACTATTACAAGTCTGCAGTGCATATCTTGTGCAGACATCCAAACTCACCAAATTCACTAGTCATGACGACCCCTGCTCTGAAAGAAGAGCAAGCCACAGCCTACTTCAATGATCGGTAGTTGCATTGTATGATGCGTAAGCGAGTCTATTTCATCGCTATGGATTGAATCGCGGACTCGGAAGCGGGTTTTGGAGTTTGAAGTCTTCATCACCCCACCAATAGTGCTGTCTTCGACCATCAGTGCTTCTTCCGGAACCTTTTAAATCCGTCATTGGGCTTGAGTTTATTAGCTGCAGAATCGGCACCTGTAAAAGACGCTGTGCAGCTACGGACAAGGATATTCTGATCCCTATCATTATCATCCCAGTGTCTTTGCTATTCTATTACGGTTATGGCCTTCCCTTATAAAAAAGTCCTCCTCATTGGTGCCACGTCAGGTAAGTTTGAGAGATCATTGCTGGGACCCGCCCCCGTGTCTTTTATGTTCAGACGATCTCAAGGAGCAATGGGCCTTCCATGGTTAACACGGGTCTCAGGAATCGGTCGAGCTTTTGCAGACACCCTTATCCAACATGGCTGCTTTGTGATCGTCGTCGGTCGACGACAGGAACATCTCGACGCGTTCGTCGAAGAACACGGTGTAGAGAAAGCCGCATCCTTTCAGTTTGACATTAACAGGCTCGATGCGATTCCAAGCTTTGCGAAAAGGTACACCAATGAGTTGCTTTGCGAAATGTCGTAAGAATTGAACTGATAAGCTTGCTACCGGCCAGTGTGACCTCGTCTCATCCGGACCTGGACTGTGTCTTCGTCAACTCGGGCATCCAACGTCGTTCTTTTTTTAGCGAGCCAGGAAGTATTGATATCAATGACATTCAGATGGAGATGACGGTAAAAGAAGCGTCAAATACCAAACCCCAGTTTCTCATGGTAACCGATTATCTCCTAGGTCAACTATGTCTCCTACGTTGCGCTAGCGAAAGAGTTCTTACCGTTTCTTCTTGCCAAAGATGCTACACCGACTTCACTCATATTGTATGTTTCGGAAGAATGGCAATGATTTAGGCTGAAGACTTGCCTATCTGGCTGACCGACATTGCATCAGCACTTCATCCAATCTTGCACTGGTTCCCATTCTCCGTTGCTCCAACTACTGCGCTTCTAAGGCCGCACTGCATCAGTGGATCCTCTGTCTGCGGGAGCAGCTTAAGGGTACAAGTATCAAGGTCATCGAAATCTTTCCACCCATTGTGCATAGTATGTATAGTCCGGCTTCATATGTCCTTCAAGGACAAGCATCTATTGTCTTTCTTGTTACAGTGGCCATACGCTGACCAACGTCTCCGCACTACAGCCGAGCTCCACGATGAGAAGCACCAACCTGACATGGCGGAGATGGTTCGTGGACGCTCCTTTGGTATGCCTGTCGAGCAGTTTACGCAAGAGGTATGCTAGATTCCTCCATTTCTGTCTTCATTCAAACTTTGTCTTGTGGGCTATATGAAACTGACGCCGTGCTTTCATTGTACAGGCGATGCAAAGGCTCCTTGCCGGAGATGACCAGATACCAGTAGGGTTGTCTAACATCGCCTTTAATAGCTGGGAACAGCAACGCCAAGCGGCCTTCAGACATGTGGTCGAGATGATGAGAAAAGGTGAATTCTAGAGAGTACAAGGACTTGGTGGGAGAGCTGTGTCAGGGCATCAGGGGGTTACCATTCCCTCGATGTGATATCTGGTTGTCTAACGCCCACTGGAACAACCGTGTTTCCTAATGTGCTGCTGCCTACAGGGAAATAAACTAAAATGCCTTGTAGTAACCTAACTTCGTATCTACTCCAAACTATGTCCGTATGACTAGGGATAGGGAAATTTACTACCCGGCTTTTAACTAAATGTTAGTATAATGGTCCTGCTGTTCAAATGTTAAATCCCATATGTTGGCAGCGGAGAATTTGAACCGCACCGATGACTTGTCTTAAGTATATAAATAAATCTTTAATTTCTCCCAGCAGATTACCACCCCGCGTCTCACCATTCAAGACTTGATATTACAGCCGTCTGCTCAAGCTATCAAAACCTAATCCCAAGCAGACATTTTTCATCAAGCACTCACCGATACACCTGGGCTAGCCTTATGCCCGATTACTTACCTAGGCAGTCTCGGACTTAAGCTTCCCGACCCTGATGTCAAGCATTATACACCAATAAGTCCGGACGGAATTAGGCTCACCGGCAGCCCCGCCCTCCCGAAGACCTGCAGGAGAACGGAGGTTGAGCCCTGGTGGGGTAGAGTGGCATGGAAGGACAGCTATCCTATGCGGAAAATGCACCCCCCCGGGCACGATTATGCTGACCGCTGGGATCGCTCCTATCAAGATCAAAGACCAAAGTTGAAGTAATTATCAGGTCCAGGCCGTAGATGTGGATTTGAAATCAATTAGACGGCGTCATTACACTAGGTGTGGAGCCATCCTGTTCTATAGTTCAAAAGTCAGCATCTGCATACAGTGCCTGCCGTTGCTCCCTAGTATATCTAGAGAGATAATACTAGCAGGATTGGGGAAAGGGAGGGCTGGTGTGATTATACGTATGCTGAATTAGCGTGGCAGCAGTGATATATACAAGGATAGAATCTAGCTCCACTGGGGGTCGATTGTCTCTAAGGAGAGGTATCCCCTCCCCTCCACCAGCTATTATAGCCCAAAACCGCGTAAAATATGTAATTCACGGGTTCTATGTTTGCATTGTTTAAAGCCCACAGGTTACCTGCCAAGAGCCAGCGGGCTCTAGGTCAGGCCCAAAACCCGCCAAGAAACGGGCTTTGGGTAGCCCGTCATGGGTAGTCCGCGGGCTGTAACGAGGTCTAGATAGACCGACGGAGATAAAGTGGGAATAGAATCTTTCATTTATATGACTGATACACGATGATGTGTAGTTTAACTAACGTAGTGATCTAGATTATGAAGACCTAAACCTATTGACCAGATTAGGAAACTCCCCACCGGTGGTCCACCACCAGATATACCCCACTGTGAAATGAGCCCCGACCGACCGATGCTTCCGTATACCGCGCCTTGTGTTGCGGGTCAAGATGACCGAGACTCAGTGGGCTCAGGCACCGGAATGCCGCAAGTGACCACTACTTTACAAATCAACTACAAATATACCTTACAAATCAGCGGTGGATAATGGTAGTTCGCTGACTGAATGGTAGGCTTATTTAACTAATAAAGTATTTCAAGATTGGCCTCGTCTCTGCTGAAAGGGATAATAAGAATTTCAGGGCTACTATAAGATTCACTGAACTCCTTCAACAAATCATTCTACTTCCTCTTCAATTCGACATCAACGCACAAGAGTGTTTGACCATAGCATTGAAACTCAGCGGCCACATGCTATCGCTCTGCACCCAGCGCGTCCTTCTGGTCCTGGCAGAGAAGGGAGTCAAGATTTGAATTCGTGCCTAGCGATTTCATGAAAGGAGCACATAAGGTGAGGCGAAAATTTGAATATCCTCTATCATAGCTACTGATCAGTTATTGGATAGGTAGCTGCCTGCCTACACTGAAAAGCATCCTTTCGGGTTGATTCCCTTGCTTGAAGACGGCACCTTTAGGGTCTTTGGTAGGTTTAATATGCACTTGATCCTCCTCTACTGTCTTGCTAGGGCGTTAGTTAATTTTCCTTTAGAGTCGAGGGCTATCGCTCGCTATATTGCTACCAAGTTCCAGAATCAGGGAACCCCTTTGACCCCTGCCGCTGGAGACCTTCAAGCTTGGGCACTATTCGATCAATGGGCTTCGGTTGAGCAGAACAACTTCTACTGCTATGTAGAACAAATCCTGACGCAGAAGATGTGGAACCAGTAAGCTTGTCCTTAACCCTAGTAGGTTCTTTAATTAGACTGATAACATTGTCTACAGGTACCGGGGTCTTCCTACCATCGACGCAATCTTAGACGATAACTAGACCTTGACACAGCCCGCCCGCTCCCGCCCGGGGTGCCCGCATAGGGCCGCCCTGGGCGGCCCGTTTTGGCCCATTTGGTGCATAATTTTCCCAATTAGGACGCATAACTCAATGATTTAGCTAATAAATACCTGTTTTTTTACGCCTGTTATAGTCCTGTTCATACTAAATGATGACCTTCACCTACTCTCGCCCGGAAATTAAATAAATAATGCTTGTATTTAGCTTCTGCATAGTTTAATTATTGTAGATGTTTACTGATTTTAAAACTAAAGGATTAGGTGGTAGGCTATTTAGTGGAGTGGCTTAAGTACGCAGGTTTATGATGATAATATATTTGAACACTAGAGGTCTACACCACCACGATTCCACTAAACTTACTACTACTTAAATGATATATATCCTGAGTTTTTTATTTATTTTAAAATGCAAATAGATAATTCTATATTTAAAATCTTATTTTTTAATGTTAACAGTGCTAATTCATTGACGTAAGCCATCAAGAAGCCTCCTAATGTTACGAGTATGGCCGAATTAGGACAGTGGTGTGATTCGGATAGAGCATGGGGATTCTGTGGGGGAGCTAGGATGTGTAAACAAGGCAAAAGGGAAGGGCATGTTATCAGAACACGTCCCTATGTTCCTGGATCTTTTTCTCTAGCTTCAATACTTTCGTCAGTAGGCACTGAATTGATCTGTTCCTTTTAATTGGCCTGTAATACCTAAGAGTCTGCAGCTCTAGCTAAAAGAATTACAAAGGCTAGGGCACTGCCCTCTTACACATATTCATGAGAGGAGTGGGCAGCCTAGGGTGGCCCTGGGCAGTGCCCTACGTAGCCCTAGGCGGCCCTGGGCTGCCCGCGGGCTTGTAGCAATATTATCTAATCTCACTAGGAGGATTCCTAGGCGGTAGGTCTACTATGTGATAGATCGACTTTATCATAATATAGGTTGATTAAGCTGAACAGCCCCTGAAGCACATTGCTTGCCTGCTAGACTTAGAGAAAACTTGGTAAGTCTCCTGATTCCTTCTTCAGAGTCTTCACCTAAGACAAGACTATTAGTTCTTACTCATTATGTCTTAACAGTCTGATATCTACTCCTTATCTCTTTACAAGGGTGATCCTACAGCCATACTTACTGCAGGTCCTACTCTCACGGAGACTCTTTCTGCTTCCTACTTTAATACTAATGACATTTCACCATTTACCTCTGAGCCGCACCTCAGCCAGCAGTCATTTATGTCTGTGCCTGATTCTGACTTTATTTAACCTTCCTTAATTCCTTCAAATCTCACACATATTCACCCTGATCGTCTGACTGAATTCATCCTTTATACCAACATGGATAAAGAGGTGTTTGTTAATTAGTGGCTACAGATAATATATGGAAAGAGACCTAAAGGAAAAACCTTTAACTGGGATTGAACTAGCCATTTATCTGAAGTGTGGAAATACTTTAATCAGATTACTTCTGCTACTGATGGTCTTCCAAAAGTGAAATATTAATAATGCAGTAAGATCCTTGATTATCCAGGACACACAAAGATAGGCACAAACTTGATGGGAAGGCATTAGAAAGGGGAAAAATGTCAGAGGGCTGCCAAACAGGCTTAGCAGCCTAATATTCACCAGCTTTTGCAAGACAAGGTAAGCAAAGCCCTAAGAGTCATATCCTATACTAATAGATTAATAGGCTAGTCAGCCCTGGAGACGCACACAGACGGTTAGTAAGGAGGAGTGGGAAGATAAACTAACTACCACAGTCACTGTTCTCCAGCTTCCTTTCCAGGTTATGGAGCATCCACAGTTCCAAAAGTTTATATGACTATCTCATTCAGTCTTAACCTTGCCTGAGTTTGCTACAGGGAGAACTATTTAGTGACGTCTCTGCAGCTATATCAAAGAAAAGCAATAATGTTTACTCCAGACACTACCACTAAACACCAAGATGTCTATTACACTAGACTGCTGGACATCTCCATTTTAACAGGCATTTATGGCTGTCACTGGCTACTTTATTAACCAGGACTGGAATTATATTAACCTAAGCGCCATGCTTCTGGATTTACTTCAACAGCATCAGATTATTAATTAAGTTCTTGCAATCACCACTAATAACGCATTGAACAACAACACCTTAATGTTAAGCATCCAGGAATCAGTCCAGTTGCTTAAACTTACTAAAAACACAATCATTATCTATGTGCCATGCATCACCCATGTTATCCAACTTAGCCTTAAACAGCTACTTGGCCAAATACAAGCAAATCTAAAAAATAAGACTGCGGAGATGAACTGGTCTAATGCTTAATTTCACTCAGCCTATGCTAGGCAACAGAATCAAGAGATTGTTAACACTCTGAATAAGGTCAGATATATATTTAGCCCTAAAGCTCACTGCTAACTATGGTTCTAGGTTTGGAACCTAGCTATCTATATTAATGCAAGCCCTTAACACCAAGAGTCATTCTGCAATCTCCAACCTGATTCACCAAAGCTAGTTCTAATTCAAGATGTCAAGACGCACTGGAACTCTACCTTCCTAATGCTTCGGCAGGCTAAGCAACTGCAGTCCACATTCAACACCTTCTGCTTAGAATACAGACTCAGATACCTTATACTAGACCAGGAAGAATGGCGTTAGATTAATTATCTGCTATGGATCACTCTCCTATTTTTTAAATTCACTACTGCCCTCTCCAAAACTAAGGATATCACATTCCATAATATCTTCGAGATTTACAACAACCTGTTTGAACATCTTGAAAAGTCAACCCACTAGCTTAAATGGAAGAAAGTCCCCTGGAAACAAGTCATGCTAAAAGTGCTAGGTGCTACAAGAGACAAGCTTATGGATTACTACACTAAAATAGATGAGGTTTATAGTGATCTCTTTGCTATTAGCACAATCCTTGCACCAGAATATAAGCTACAGTTCTTTACAAGCAAGGACTGGGATGACGACTATGACTGGCGCCAAAGATATCATCAAAGCTTTAACAACTATGTCAGGCCATACCAATAACATCTTGTTAACCCACAGACGTCATCACAGGATCAGGCATCTGCGCGGCCCACAGAGGTTAGTGTGATTAGTAGGATCTTGAAAGGAGCAAAACATCAGTGGTTAAGCCAGCGTGACGAGCTTACCCTGTCACGGGCTAGAAGCCGATTCAACCTATAACCTAGGTTTGGACGGTAAGAAATCGCTAAGAGGTTCTAACTGGGGCCGCAGCGGCCGAACACGAAGAGGGGTGTGCGAGGGAGAAACGGGGTCACGTGACATGGCTGTTCACGACATTACTTAGTACAGAATCACGTGACCTAGCCTGCCTGAGGCAGTTCGCGAGTGCTCAGTGAGCTCGAGCATTCAGCGGGCCTTGCCCGCTACATACCCAGTATCTTAAAGCTGGTAGGTGATACTAAGACCCTGTTTAATCATTTACTAACCTATATACTAGATCCTATTGAGATTTCTCCTCTTACATTCTGGAAGGAGAATCAACATAAATACCCTGCCCTTGCAGCTACTGCGCGTGATATGCTATCTATCCCTGTGACTAGTGCAGGTGTAGAGCGGCTTTTCAACTCTGCTTGAGATATCTGCCACTACCATCAAGGCTCACTAAATGCCACCACCATCCAAGATCTTATGATGTTCATGTGTGTATCAAGATTTGATATTAAGGAGAAACAACTCGCATTAATTAGTGAGCAGCTCTCAGAGGAAGAGAAAGATAAGGTAAATGATGAAAAGGACACAGAGTATCTTGATGATCTTAATCCTATTAGTGATAACAAGGAGGAGGATATGATGCTTATCTAAGAGCAGCCTATGACACAGGGACTTTCGGAGCGCGTCACAGGGAAAAGACGAAGAAGTGTGGCATCTGAATTAGAGGAGGAGGCTCAGGAAGCTGCTCAATCCGATAAAGAAGCAGAAATTCCATTGCCTAAGCAGCCTAACACCCAGCAGCAGATATCAGGGAGAAAACAGAAGCATACAAGACGCGAGGATGATGATTTTGTTCACTATTAGCGGCATAATATAGAGTAACTCAATTTATTTAAAGCTTGATTTATCTAAACCCTCGTTCTTCTATCTCATGACTCTATATGTAAGATAAATACTCAAAAATACAGAGAAAAACCGCACAAATAATGCATATCACGGGATTTCCTATGTTTGCCCTGTTTGGCAGCCCGCTGGGCGCCCGTTTTGGCCCGCCGGGCAGGCACTTGGAGCCCGTTGTAGCCCGCCGGGCAGGGGAAGCCTGCCTGCTGCCCGTCTACGGGCGGGCAGGGGCTCAGCCCGCACGGGACCGCCCAGGGCTGTGTCAAGGTCTATATATGCATAGATAAAAGGCTGATAGTTACCCCTAACATTAAGTGAGAAGCAGGCTATCTTTGTGATAGTATCTCCTGCTATGCTGCTATAGTTTTCTAGTTAGACTAGTGGGATTTTGAAATGCTCTAGTTGATGCTTCTGCACTGTGTGCTCTGATATAATCGAAGAAGATGAACATCCAGTATCCATTAGGGAATTATATATAGATGTTTTATTAAGAATCATAGTTACTAAGAATTCTGGTCCATCAAATAGACCTGCATCTTCTAGGAACTGTTTAAATCTAGCTTTTATGTTGGTCTTCTCCCTTATAGCTCAAGTATTCCCTTCAGGGCGCCATGATGTTAAGCACATTAACTATTTAACTAGCCCCTGTATAAGTCTTTTTGCAGGGGCTACTCTTTTTCTGATTTACTACTTGGTTCCACCTCATCTTCTAGCATAGGAGCTACTGCGTTTACACAAGCAGCTTAGGGTGCAGGTGCACAAGGACACTAAGCAGGGTTAAACTAGCAGTTATATACTATATGACTAGAGGCACTGCAGCATAAGCATCGACCTTCCTGCCAGTGTTTGCTCATCTCTTCATTATTCACCTACTTCGCGCGGTGGTGTCCGCAGGCTAGTAGGGGCGTAGGCTCCCATTCCAT